TGGCCTAGAGATAGATTACCAAGAGTATCGTCTGTATTTAGACAATAGAATAATAGTCTATCTAGTGTATGTCTAAGGAGAGACCACATATGACGAAGAGAGAGAGAGAGAGAGAGAGAGAGAGAGAGAGAGAGAGAGAGAGAGAGAGAGAGAGAGAGAGAGAGAGAGAGAGAGAGCACGCGAGAGAGTGGGAGAGAGTAAGAGGCGGCCGGTGTTCGTTTTGCGTGCGGGTTTCGTATTTCCGATCTTAATTAAGACGAAACCACAGAAGCTCGCAAATCGGTGGTTTTTTTTTACTTTCGAAAGGTATACGACACACGTTAGAGTAATGACACATTTCAGTTGTAATTGCGCGACACTGAATGACTCGTTAACGCATAACCTATGATAATTACCATCATTCGTAATCAGTATTACGTATTGAAATGTACCGATAGATTAAAGAATGTGTATATTGTTTACCGACTAGAAGAATATCTCTTACGTTTATCGTTGTATATGTTACGCGTTCGTAAATGTGACGAATGAATGAATGAAATAGTGAATGAATAAATGAAAGAAAAGCTATTTATTTATAAAATACTATACCACGTACTTGCATACTTTATACTTGGTTTATGCATGTATTTTAACATTAAACCCCTAATGTTCCAGAAGATTTACTACTTGCTAATAATAATTGCTTATGTGCCACTAGAAATAGAGCACCCCTACACAGCCCCCTTAATTATTACTGAAAACGCCTTTACGAAATTTTGTAATCATATAAAATTGTGAAAATGTAGATCGCAGGAGATGGTATTTGAGGCACTTTTGAGTACACGTACAGCCTTCATTCTGACTACAACAATTCTCTTTTAGTAGAACAATTTATTTTTTAAATTTTGCTTCAAAATCTAGGTGCAGCTGTCCCCCCCCCCCACAGGCTACGGCCCTGGTGGTCATCTGAGTCCAAAGGAATTCACAGTCCAAAATATTATAACATATTGAGAAATTTTACTTGGATTTTTCCTATTGGACCACAGTACCATATAGCTATTCCGTAAAACAGAGTTAGGCCTACCTCGTAATTTATACTAGTCGTTGATTAGTCGTGCAACTGACGAATCAACATGGTGATATAATTTATTTCGCGATCAGCCAATAGCACACCGTGTTACAGATGTGAACATGAGAATATATTGAATCGCCAAGAGATTGCGACGCAAAAGAAGCTCATCACATCATTAGTGAATTAATCAATATGCATGAGAATGACTTCGGTGTATTTTATGTTATTGTTGCTGGTTCCTGCTGCTCGCGTGAGTGGTCACAGGAAGGTATCAATTAGCGTTGAGACGGAGGCGGGGCAGCGCAGCGTAGACGAGCGCTTTCTGAGTGTAGCCTTGGGCGCGTCCCTTATAAATCGTGAATGGAGAACCTTTGATGTCAGGTAGGCAGTCGGTTCATCACTGTGTGTAGACATTGTAGTACGACACGAGTGTCGGCAATAATGGCACTTCGCTGCTCGTTGTGTGGTGAGGTGTAATTGTTAGCGTAAATTGATATAGTGGAATGGCCTTTGACTTCGAGGTACCGGGGCGTCGGTAGTCGGTACAGGTCTAGGACAGACTGAGTCACCACCCTTACACAGACACTTGGACCGTTTCAATAATAAAATGATGGTTAATAAATACAATTAACTTGTCAGTACTAGACCTACCAGTACCAGTACCAGTAATAGCCTTAATGTTTGATTTGACCTAATATTGTAATAACTTCACTTCAACACCGTCCAATACACCGCTGCAACACATAGCGCGCACGCCATTGTGCATGCACAAATACACAGTGATATAGAGTGTATATCACTGTGTATATCACAGTGTGTATATCACTCTATATCACTGTCGAATCAAACATTAAGACTATTACTGGTACTGGTACTGGTGCTGATAGGGTCTATGTCCCCCAGGGTACTGCCGGAACGTACCCTGGTACTAAATACTATACTATCTAATATACCGGACCGTACCTCGCCTACTCCACTAACGAGTCTAGGGTGTCGCCTACGCCTACTCCCTAACCCTAACTCTTACCCTAACCCTAACCCTAACACTAACCCTAACCATATCAGCTAGATAGTTACCAGGGTACGTTCCGGCAGTACCCTGGGGGACATAGACCCTATCAGCCTAACTAGTACTGACAAGTTGTATTTATTAACCATCATTTTATTATTGAATCGGTCCAAGTACCTGTGCACCCTCACTCGTGCCGTGGTACTCATAGCTCTAGTAACTATAACCCACATACGGTTGCGGCTGCTAGTGCCAGCGGCAATCGTACGCGGGCTATAGTTAGTAACTAGAGCTATGGTACTCATAGTCACAGGCACTTACTTGGGCCGTTTCCATAATCTAAGGATGGTAAATACAAATTGTATTTACTACCAAAATCTTAATGTTTATTAGCTCTAGTCTAGCCTCTAGGCTCTATAGGCTCTAGTACTATAACTATATAGCCCGCGTACAGTTGCCGCAGGGCTATAGTATAGAACATTCTATTACGAATTCCAGGGATCAACTTATTCACAGTTACTCGCGGCTATAAAACGTCTGTGGTAGGCAATTAATGCCTCTTATCCGAAGTGAATATGTCTTAAGTTATATCACTATCAGCTACTAAAATTAAACCTCTAACTATCGTTGAAATGGTCTGCTTGCAGTATTTCTTGTGAACGCACATTATATTTACAAACTTCAAACGGCCATTTTTGGTGGCGCTGCAGCAGCGCCAGTCAGCACCAGCGGGTTGGTCCCTAGCATTCGTAATAGAATGTTCTATAGCCCTGCGGCAACTGTACGCGGGCTATAGTACTAGAGCTAAATGTTTATGTGCTCTTTTCTATCGCTTTATTGCCATGTAAATACCGTTCAAATGTTCCTCTATGACAGTCATGTGCCTGTGGCAACAAGGGCTATAGTACTAGAGCTATTAGAACTTTCAATATTAAAATGATGGTAAATAAACACGAAATATGTTTACTTACAAAATATTAATGTTTATGTATTCTCTATCTTCTAATAATTCCACCTAAATGTCGTTGAAATGCTCCTCTGCAACACATAATTCAATGAATGCATGTCACTATGCACAGACTCCCAGAAAGATGAGAAGATTACAATAGCAATTATGTGGCATTACGAGGCAGTAGAGAATACATAAACATGAGGACGTTAGTAGTATATATACAGTTTGTGTTTATTTACTATAATTTTGTTATTGAAATGGCCTAAGTGCCCGTGTGCAGGCGGGTGGTTGTTATATTTTTCTTCATCTGCCCAATTATGTACACTGGCTAATGAAGTGATATATATTTTCTTACACGGCTACACCAAACTGTGCACGGGGTCGCTTGCTGACTTTTGGCAAGTGTATGCCCATCCAATTTAAAAATGCATAGAAGACTATAGTACGCTCGCTTGCACCTATCTCTGTCATCGTATATGGTCTGTAGGTCTCACCAGACATGCTTTGCATGCATTATAAATATAAAAGATTATTGTCCCATTACCTCTGAATTCAGTGCTATCTCTGCTGTCTTTACAACTGGTAGATGTATATCACGGAAATCTGAACCAGGTAACAGAAGATTATCTACCAATTAGAAGTGGCCGCCGTGGCGACTGAGAAAAGGCTAATATCACCCAATCCCCTAGCTCTGTACTACCTAGGTAAACACGAACAATATGGGGATTTTATCTAAGTATCACTTGCATGAGTAGGTAGCACACGCGCTGGATTGGGTTTGAATGAGATTGTTAATGCGATAAATGCTGTTGCCAACAAAGACCGCGCTTGTAAGTGGGTGTGTTGGACAATGGGGACAGCGGCAGCGGTGAGGATATAATGGGTCGCGTTTCATGGTCGTTCTGTAATCGGACGGAGTTAGCGCCATTCCCATGAATATCATGTGATGTGTAAAGCAACAATTACGGAAAATCGCATGGAAAATTTTATATCTCGCACTCGTAGCTCACTCGATGGGCATAAGTGGCACGTTTCTGTCATTGTTAGTTCGTGTGGCTTTTCGCACAAAAAGAATATGTGAGAAAGATGCAGGTGCTTGTAAGGAAGATGCACCAGGTTACTGGCTCTCTATAGTGATACATTTTCGAACGTCTAAGGTGGCAAGTACTTACTGAATTTCGCAGTCTGATGCACTCACTATAGATGCACGCACTATATACAGATGCACACAATGTGCACAGCAAACATCTCGGTATCCCCCTACAGTACAATTATAGCCGGAGAAATATAGACCCGAGTGGACTCGAGTAGACAAAGGGAGCGAGCTTTCGTTGAGGCAAATCTCTAGCTGTTACGGCATCCGGTGTGATTCCGTATGCTAGAGCTCTCACTCCTGCCAGAACTGGTATGTGCCAAGAGACAAAAGATGGTATAATGCACTGCATGAGTAGTCATAAAGATCCATGTTTGTCACGTGTCTCTATCTTCACTAGTAGCTGATTGGCGATCCCTGACACCCGTAGCACCATAATTACAATCTGCGCTCTTTCTCAATGGCACAATATGCGCTCTTTCTCAATGGCACAATATGCGCTTGTACGTGGGTTGTCAGCTATAATGAGGAGACAGCCGCTCGCTTCTTAATTACTTAGGTGCCAGTTGTCTGCTGGTGCATGTGGTACTCGGTACCATGTTTGCGTGTACGTGATGATGAAGGAAGAAACCCTAGTACGACGTAACCCCCCCCGGTCGACGCATGCATGTAGTGTGCACGTTATTGTTATGCTTATACCGCACATACATGAGACGTGCACCTATCGGCTACAATTATGTGTAATATGCAACGTTAGCTGGAATGCAGTCGTGTCTTAGTTCCGCGTCGAACCTTAGCGGCAGCTGGAAGGAGTCGCAGCAGGTGACTGCCTGCGGGTTTCAGCCTGCGTGCAACTGTGGCATGCATGCGTTTTTGCAGACGTCACATTAGATGCACGGGAATAGACTCGCCGCTCTAATGGACACGCTCTTCATGCAATTGCAGATCGGCGAAACTGCGACGTCTAGCCAACGCATTGTCACCAGCGTACCTTCGACTTGGTGGAACCTATTCGGACTTTCTCATCTTTCGTGAGGACGGTGATGCAGGGGGTGGGGGCGCCGGTGGGCAAACGGATTGTGAGGACAGCGACGCGGGGGATGGTGGCACCGGCGAGCAGACGGGTCATGAAGACGCCAGAGAGACGCGCTGGCTCGATTCATATGGCGAGATTCGGCCTCCAAAGAACATCAGTAACTTCACGATGACAGGTGACAGGTGACAGACAGCCACCGCCCATGCCCCTGTCGGCCATAACGCAGCCGTGTGGAAACGGAGGGGAGGGATATATATGCTCTGCTGAAGCCATTTCGTTTTTGTGACTAGTGTAAACGTCGGCATGCTGTTGTGATATTTTCTCAGCAAAATGACAAAATGCGAAGATATTTCGTCACAACAGAATTCTTTGCAAAATGAACGATTCAATGGAGTTCAAAGCAGAAAACTGTGAAATGCGGGTATTGTTCAAAACTGCTTATATGGTAAATATTTGGGTGTATATGATGTGATCAGATGTCCATTTTAAAAGGGCAAATTTGATACTCGTGTATTCCTGATATAACCTGTTATAATTTTATCAGGAGTGTATAATATATAACCTAATAAAATTAGGTAAAGTAATACCCTGCATTACAATTCGCGCATACTTAAATTCGTGCATATATATAATTTGTAAATTATGACCACCAAAACAAAATTATTATACAAATCAAATATTCGGGACAAAAGGGTTTTTCTATAATCAATATAATAATCAATGTTTGCCAATGTTTACTTGCACCCATGAATATACATTCACAATCGGTGCACTGTCCCTAGTGTATTCCAGGTACAGGGTACTAATTCTTCCTCTAAACTCCCTTCACTGTGTTTTATAATTAAATAATCAATATGTTTGTCAGTGTTTTTTGCATTCATAATTGTTATTCCATTTGGCCAGATCCAGAGATTACCTACTTCTTTTGATCGTAGAAAGGTATCTCCAGTTATATATTAAGAGTCAGTGGAGAAAACGTGATTCATGTTACGAAATTCCATGCTACAAATGTTTCTTGGCATGCGTTTCTTTCGTAATGTGTGGTATTAATGATCTGTAAAATTCATGTAACTAGGTGTAATGGCAACATTCAAGAAATGGCTTTATTTAGGTATTATCAAATGACTAGGAAACGTTTTTAACATATTCATGGTACAGGTACTGAATTCATACTACAGCCATTAGTTGTAATAACTCTTATTTCTCAACCACCACAGCGAACTAAAAAAAGTTTAGAATTTGATTTGTGCAGCAATGATTCACCAATTATTATTATAATTCTATCAGTGAATATATATTTTGAACCTGAATATATTATGGTAAATTCCTTAATTGTGCCCAAACTTGCTTATATTAAATACATTTTCTTGTACTTATTTTATTCTAAGACTATCAAGACAATACCTAATTCTACCGATGTAGCCCCTTCGCAGTAGGACAGTAGTACAGGTATAATGGGAGCGAAGCAGCTACACCGGTAGAGCTAGACAATACCATGCGTAATACCTGCTCACTAATGCTTATAGGGTCTATGTCCCCCAGGCCCCGGGGTACTGCCAGAACGTACCCTGGGTATGGTCCGGTATACCGGAACGTACCCTGGTAACTATTTGATATGGTTAGGGTTAGGGAGTAGGCGTAGGCGACTCCCTAGACTCGTTAGTGGAGTAGGTGAGGTACGGTCCGGCATATTGGATAGTACCAGGGTACGTTCTGGTATACCGGACCGTACCCAGGGTACGTTCCGGCAGTACCCTGGGAGACATAGACCTTCTCAGCCTCACTAATGTGTTTCTTCTGAATCGTGATTTCAGCGCACGACTGGGATAACATCAACACATTTGCATCTGTGGTAGAGTGGCAACTGATTTTTGATCTGAATGTTCTGCTGAGAAATCATCTAAGATGGGATCCATCAAATGCCATGCAACTGCTAGCATACACAATGCACAGAGGTTATCATCCTGATTTTGAGCTAGGCAATGGTGAGAATTTAGTATAAACATACATAAATGTAAATTTATATATGTGTGTATATATACATAAATAAATTTATATTTTTAGCTCACCTTGACATCGTCAAGCTGAGCTATTGCCATGGGTCGTCGTACGTCCGTCCGTCCGTCCGTCAACATTTCGCTTCGGTCAACGATAACTCAGGAACCGTTTGGCCCACATGTTTGAAATTGGGTATAGTTGTTACTGCTATGCTCCCATATTAAACGTCCTATTTTGAAGCACGGCACAGCAATTTTTTGGCAAAAATGGGAATTGCCATTAGTCAGTTCAGGTTCAACGGATTTTGCTCATGTTGTTACTCATCTGACATAGTCAGAGCAGCTTTAGAATCGCATGATCGTCCGTCCCGTGCGTGCGGCTGTGCGTCGCCTCGCGTCAACTAAGTTGGGCACAAATCTTAACGCCGACGTACGGTCACGATATTCGGACGTTGGGGGGATCTGCGTCCAACACGAGTTGGGATGGCTGAATGATGGGGGGTCAAAGGTCAAGAGTGTCAAAGTGGTGTAAAAGAAAGGGGAACATTCCCATCCTTAACTTAAAGGTATAGAGGAGAAATGCCAGAATTGCCGGACAATTCAAACGGCTCAGACCTAGCGTCTGATAGTCGTGTAATAGCCATCATGGTAAGTAAAAGCCATCAACTGTGCCCTAAAATTGGAAGGTCACAGCCGTCAAAGATCAATGCGGGCACAGGGCAAGATTTTAGACATTTTCTGAGGACATGGTTGACGGAGGCGATGGAAAACTTTTTTTTTTCAGCGGTGATCCTGAGGCATTTTTATGGCTTTATGTGAAAGGACCATGAAATGTACTTATCTGTCGACAGCGAAGAGTACAGTGTCGGAAATTTATTTGACCCCTCAAAGAGAAGTGTAAAACATGGATTGTTTGTTGACTGTTACTAAAAGGAACTGGAAGCTGGCTTTTGCTATTGTGGACTTGTGAGGCTACAGTTGCAGCAGGTTCAATTGCAAAGGCAATTGTTTGTTGACAAGGTTTACGCCTCGCTTAAAATCAATTATTTCTAAAGCAGTCCTGTATTAGCACCCCTGACTGCTCACCCGTGAAACGCAGCACCTGTACAAATGAAACCCCTGATCATAGCTCCGGTGTCGTAGGCAAAACATGGGGCAGCCCTCCTGTCACGCGTACATACGCATGGCGCTGAACTGGCACTATCTAATCATAATTATAGCCTCGGCAAACCTGCAATGCAGATGTGTAACTCACAGCTGAGCGAAATTCTCGCCTCCTGAATATACTTGGATTTCAGCCCAACTTCAATGACGCGAGTTAATCACGCACGAAGAAGGTGATGCCATCCTTTGATTATTGGATGACACTTGCACGCGCCATCTCGCGGCCAGACTGCTTTGCTATTTAGAAGCCCCACTCCATCCCGCGCCGCCTCCGCCACTCTCCCCCACCACCACCCACACGCTCTGCCGCCATCGACGCATATCCATTATAAATGTTATATCACTGCCGAAGGATCATTCAAAGTTACAGCAGGACTGTAACTCTTATTACTGCTACTACCGGTTAATGCAATGCCTAGCTATCATAGATTTTTAGATCTGTATTGTAGTATCCTAGATCATGCTCTGAAGCGACGAATGCGGTTAATGGGAGGGTGCTCTTCATTCGTTTTGGCCAGTGAGTTTTAGCATCAGAACACTTGCGCGTTCAGGTGAGCCGCTGTCCGCTTCTGCGCAAGCTTGTTGCGTATGCTGAATGATAAGGCTAGAAGTTTTGATATTTAAAAAAAAATTATGCAAATTATGGTAGGGTTTTGGCAATGTATAATAGCATAAATTATATAGACACAAACAGTCTGTGGTGTCACTCTTGTCTGAGTTCGTTTTACAAGATTTCATTGACAATGATCGCATTAATGCAAAATGGTATTCTCCTCTCCACCCGTGCCGATAAAACGTCTATGATTAGAGTAGAAGATTTACAAAACATGGTCGGGAACGCGAGCATGAACCTATTTATTCAAAACGCCAATCAGCCTACAAAGCGGGTTAGCGCGGGTTCTATAAATTATTATTGCGAAGTATACAGATGGCAATCGTTTCTATAATGATATGTTGATGGTTGCTTAATTAAAAACTGACTTCTTCTTCAACTCAGACTCATTTGTGTCCTCTTTGTGGTGCAGACTACAGTGCTCATATGACACTTTCAATTACTAATAATACATTGAAGATAAATTTATATTTTTATATATATATATATATATAATATATAGAACCAGGCAACCGGGTGAATGAAAACACGTTTTGTTTATAGTAATTCCTGATAGAATTACGCTGCCATGTAGCATAACTGCAGCACTAGCTAGCTTTTAATCGCAGACAACCCAGCCGTCAAACGCACACCTCCGAATAAAGCCCCACACCTGCTACGCACACAGTGGAAACCTGCTACGCTACATTTGCGAAAAGAAGCCATTCAAGGGAAACACGCTCGCCGGAGATTAAGACGTTTGCTGGTCGTGCATCCGCATGGGTTGCCCACGTTGTGTGGCGTGGTGCTTCTCTTCATTCTTCCCTCAGCGAATTCATTAGAAGAAGCCCCGCACATCTCCGCAAAATCAAATAAGCAGTCTGGTAATGACTTCGTTAGAAGCCGGACAAGTGACGGATAGGAAGCCTAGAGATTTGATTCTAACAGAATATTGAGCCCATGTATTAGCAAGGCTTCACGTAGCATGCGCATATACTGCGTAAGCTCATTTTGCCATTTTGCCTCCTTTGTGGAGGGATGCTGACACGAGATGGAGTGTTTGTTGTTGTTGCTGTTCCTGCTCCATACATGTGCGCGTATGAGTGTGTGCATGCGTGCGTGCGTGTGTGCGTGCAGTGTATGTGACTTAGTGTCTGCGGCAATGTGCATGAATCTTTGACCCATCCAAGTGTAACCTACCAGGCGGGGCCGTGGGGGCAACAAGCACCAGCTAGAAGAGGGCATAGCGGAGAGCTGTATAGGGTCCAGTCGTGCATTTCAGTGCTTCGTACGGCAATTTTTCAGTGTCTATTGAACACTAAACTTTGGAAATCACAAGTAAAATGGAGATGTTAAGTGCTCATAAATGCCTGCATCGCGTTTTGTCCACTCGTTTTCTGGCATTGATTCCAAGAAGGGGCGAGATGAAGCACTGATGGATCCTCTTGGATCAGATGGCGATGTGAGCATCTGAGCGTTTGGGCATGCATGTGTGCGAAAGTACCTACGTGGCCGTGCGCGCGTCCATGTGTGCGTGAATCCATGCTAGCATATGTGGCAGGCAGTTTGGTGGTTACTTGTGTGTATGCAGATACAATAATGTAACCCAACAAGATGAGGGTTTCTCTAGTTGTGTTACATTTTTAGCTCGCCTTGACATCGTCAAGAAGAGCTATTGCCATGGGGTGTCGTCCGTCGTACGTCCGTCCGTCCGTCCGTCAACATTTGGCTACGGTCAACGATAACTCAAGAACCATTTGACCCACATGTTTCAAATTGCATATAGTTGTTACTCCTATGGGAGAGGGTTGAACGTCCTATTTTGAGGTTCACTTTTTGGCAAAAATGGAAATGGCCACAAGTCAGTTCATGTTCAACGGATTTTGCTCATTTCTAGTATGTGAATGAATAACGACTGGCCCCAAAACATATCACACAGGTTTTGATTTTTTTTGTAATTATGCAAATTAGGTAGTTTTTGGCAATTTTACTATGCATTTCAGTGTCTGCCTACGGTCAACGATAACTCAAGAACCGTTTGACCCACATGTTTCAAATTGAATACAGTTGTTACTCCTATGGGAGATATCTGAACTTCCTATTTTGGAGCACGCCAGTCGACCTACTTTCGAGCCACGCCCACTTTTTGGCAAAAATGAAAATGCCCATCTAAATTCATTTGATTTTGTTAAATTTTGGTATGTGAATGTGTAGGGCCAGCGGCCAGCCCCAAAACAGTTGTTACTACTATGGGAGAGATGACAACGTCCTATTACGTTTATTTCGTCTAATTGGTCAACAACTCTACAATCATACCTATATACGTGTAATATTGTGTTTTAGATTCTTCATTACAGTAATTTGACTGGAATATTTTATTGTTTTTATTTGCGCGATATTCGAAAACCAAAATGGCGATCATTTAGGCATAGCACCATCTCTGGTCAAGATTTCAGACTTTCAAATCTGAAACATTTATTTTCGCATCAAAACTTATGCATATATCATTATCAAGAGTATATAATGGGAAATATGCTATATAATGGGAGTTCTCCCATATATACTCTTGCTTTATCTAGATCTCCCCTCCCTCTTCTATCACACCCAAGGTGAGCTACAGTGTCATTGACACTTTCATTGCATCTAGGACTATGCAGGTAATCACACTCTTTGGGTGGCATCACACAGCATGCAGGCAATTGGGAGCAATGTACATCAAACGTACTCAATGATAACGTGTGGTGGTTGTTCAAACTGCTTGTTAATCAATTTAGATACATTGTTTTTCTCCCACAGAACCGGATAGCTTGAAGCATGCAGTTAATCGTACTGTGAGCAGCAAGGACTTGGCAATGGATTTCCGTATGCTATCCAGAATACTGAAGCAAAGTCCAACTCTCCAGAGCAGTCACATTGTTGGGCCAGATGTAACCAGGTCCAAGAAAAAGTCACTGAAATACCTAAAGAAGTAATTTTCTGAGATCGTATTCATATAATTCTGATTGCAGTCCTACAAGAGTAAGAAATGACATGTTCATCATCTGCATCCGTGAAGCTATGCAAGTAGAATAGACAGGTGATGTGTGGTCACGCAGCATGTTAATAAAGGCCTGTCTAATACAAGGATGCAATATGTAACTATATACGTCAATGGCGGATCTAGAGGTTAGGGGGGCCACCACTCCGTTCAGCCACTGACTAATGTTATGATACTAGTAAAATGGGGGTACCCTGGCACCGCGTGCCTTTGGCACGCCTTCACGCAAATATCAAGCCCCCCGTCTCCTGAAAGCTAGATCCGCCCCTGTACCTGTCTATATATCAAGAGTCCATAATAAAGTCTCTATTATGGACTCTTGTATACTGCTCCTTGCTCTAATCAGAGCTCTAATGTAGCTAGTTTAATACAGTGGCTCCCCCTGTTGAATAGTGTAATAGAATTTATGGTGTAGAAGCCATGATACAAATAATGTACTAGATACACACAGATTATCTAATATATTATTTCTATAGTTGCAAAATTGATATTTACCTATTGGATTCTTGTTTTTTCGGTGTAATTTGACGTCGACTTGTAAACAATTGTATTTTTTTGCATTTCCAGCTTTCTTTACCTGTCTGGCGATGTCGTAAGTGCTGTGACTATGCATCAGTAAGTACTTTCATGTGATAAGAAACGCATCTACTAATTCAAATTTTGTCGTAAATATTGCAATGTAATAATACATGTTTGATATCCTCGGTGTTTACTGCAAAGCGTGGTACTGGTAGGCATTCAATTGCAAGTTGTTATAGGAAATAACTCCATTTATTTGACATATTGTAGGATGAAAATACTTAAAAATGAACTACATGAACATATATTAGGTATTACATTCCAGGTACTATGTTGATGGAAGAACTGCAACATTAGATAATTTTACAGACCCATCTGTTTTAAATTTTCTGAAAGGTCAACTCAGTGAATTTGTGGAGGTGTGTAAAAACATTAGGTTTAATAAGGTAAAAGTTTATTTCGCATGTACATGCAATATTTGTGTTGTTTATGCTATTTATCAAAAGATCTAATTGTAAAAAGGTAAAAACTTAGTAATTCTGTCTAGAAATATGACTGCTGACTTGATGTTGCCATTTTATAAAGTTGAAATGAATCAATAAATGCACTCTCGATAGATATAGAATCAAAATCCCAATGCCTATCTACTAATGTTGTCTGTGATTGACACACAACAGAACTTGCTGTTGCTCAACAGTAAGTTAATACCTGTTGATATGCCATCCTTCACCACTGGTACTTTACTTGGCAGGCTGCCAAAGAGGCTGTGCCCGCACGGCCCCTGTGGCTGGGTGAAACCGGGTCTGCGTGGGGAGGTGGAGCCAAGGGTCTGTCAGACACCTACGTAGCTGGCTTTATGTGAGTGACCGCTCGCAAGGAGAAACAAGAGCAAGAGAAAGGGGAGAGGGCGAGGGAGAGGAGAGAGAGAATGGGGAGAGGGTAAGGGAGAGGGATATATATATATATATATATATATGGAGACAGAGAGAGAGAGTTAATGATATAGAGTGTACAAGGACCCGAATGATGTATGACATCGTGCAAATATGTAGGCCAACCTCTGCCCATATCTGTATTGTGGTTACAGTCCTATAGACCGAAGGTCCGATAGACCGAAGGTTTATTCGAATACGCAGTGGTTACACGTCCGGAATCGGTCGCCTAGCCTCCAGAATACGCATCCGGACATCCACTGATGCAGATGGGGTCGTTGTCGTATCAGGTACTACAGATATGTACCCGAGGTAGTTTTCGGTTGTTTAGTATTATGTTTATATTTTTATATGAGGTATGTTTAGGGTTAGGGTTAGGGTTAGGGCTAGGGCTAGGGTTAGGGTTAGGGTACACTTCTGTAGTACAAGTCTGGTACACTTTGTGTATACATAAATGTACCTCAGGTACATATCTGTAGTACCTGATACGACAACGACCCCTTGAGCTCCACTGATGCCGTATTCGAACGTGAATATGCCTCACATCCACCGATGCCATTATAAATCATATGATGCCACTATAAACCATATATATGCCCTAACCCTAACTCTAACCCTTTGCAATGTTCGGTCTATCGGACCTTCGGTCTATCGGACCTTCGGTCTATCGGACCTTGTATCGGCTGCCCCCCTGTATTGTAGTTAAAAGGACCATGGCAAAGGTAATGGGTAATTGATAGGGATTAATGATTAGTATTAGTGATAAGAATAATGTGTCTGCCTTTTCGTAACTCTGAATTTAGGTGGCTGGACAAGTTGGGCCTGGCAGCTCAGATGGGTATAGATGTTGTGATCAGACAGACATTTTACGATGGACACTATGCCTTGATCGACAAAGAGCTGAACCCAACACCAGTAATATGGTCACTCATGTCAATCCTTATTATTAAGAGTGTATATGCATTATTATTATTATCATTATTAATATTATTATTATTATTATTATGTTATCAAAATCGCTCTGACTACTTAACTGTCTAAATGATGCTGCATTTGCTGACATGTAATCGTTGGACCACTTACATGTCAAACTGGGCGAATTTCCCATGCTGACATTGAAAGTTACATTTACTTTGCATTCAGAATTAAGAAAGTTGAGCAAAAGCTGTTAACCAGGAGTAAAATAACAGTCCAGTCAGACAGGTGAGCATTATCAACTTTTTTGTAGGATTATTGGCTGTCTTACGTATACAAGACTCTTATCGGAAACACAGTATTGAAGATATCTTCGTCTCCAGAACTGAGCCACTTGAGATTATACGCACATTGTACAAACTACCGAAGGTAGGTACTTAACGGCACAGTTGTGAATTCTTGTGTAGGTGTTCAACCAAACTATATCTGCCTGACCAATTCTATGGCCGTGCTGCCACTTTATACTTTTTTTTCAGAAAATATACTTTTTATACTTTTTTCATGCAAAAATACCTTTAAATACTTTTTTTGCCAAAGATGGTCAAAGGTCTTCGGACTTACATTTAGGTACACTATATTTGATGAGGTTAAAGATGTGCTTTGCTAGTCTTGTTGCAGAAGGGATGGTGTGCTCTGTTCAGTGGAGTGTTTTTGCTCTCAGCTCTCTGCTGTCAGTGACTAAATGACAGAGTATTGCAGTGTTTCCCCTGCATTGACACGAGCGAGGCGGGCCGCCACACTGTCCAAAAAACCGCCTCGCTCACGAAACTTTTGGCAACTAGAAAAAGATATTCAAGAGTCTCATACAATGTGTCCAGAATAGCTTAGAATGCACCAAATTGCACCATTTTTACCAAAAAAAATGTTGTGGACCCCGGACCCCCCTAACTGGCTAAGCACATGCACTCCTTGTTTTGCTAGGATCTTGAAACACGCAAACACCACACAAAAATTTACCACCTCAGACCTTTCTGGCCAAGGCACTGCATTGCATATTCCAAACTGAGGGTACAAGAGACAGCTCCTCAAGACATTGCACACATCATTCCTGAAGCTTGTTTACATGCTGCACATAGGCTATAATGTATTCGATAATAAGGTATAGGGTATAACAAGTGACTACAAATCATGGTAGGTTGATACAAATTTATACTTTTTTAATACTTTTTTAGACAATTTTGATACTTTTTTTTCTGGACAGATTTTATACTTTTTTTGTAATAATCCTGAGTGGCAGCAGTGCTACGGGCATGTAGACGTACAATGAGCTTTCCCATGTTCTTCTAATGGATAGTTCAGTGTTGGTAAGAAACACACTAGCAATGTGTGCACATGCCTGTGTTATGTTGAATGATCGTGGTTGTAATGAATCACATTTATTAGTCGCATTTCGTCGTTATGTTGATGCATCTGGTTCTTACAGTTACATGTGCCTCAATACAGGTCTGCATATAGCAAAGGGTCAATGACAGTGTTTGCCCTCAATTTGCGTACGCATGCGATTGCACTGGAATTGCTACAGCAGCAGCACGTAGGCAACCTTACTGTTCATCAGTACCTGCTCAGCCCTCACGGAAACAGCCTAACGTCACGGTACCTGCGATTTTATTAATCATTGTAAAATATCACTTAGTGTCGCCCTCTATTGAGGGAAAACGTTGAAAACGCACATTTTCTTATATGCGCACATATATACATTTCGCAATACAACGACAACTATTGATTCGTTCCGATGAGCTTGATTTATCTATGAATGCTAAAAATGTAATGCTCTAAATTTCTTGAAATTGTCTGTAGAGGGGTGTTTTGAGGTCGAAACATTCTACTTATGCATTCTGTTAATAGGCATGTGGATTTGAATGGGGAGCGGCTACAGCTAAACACAGACGACTCGTTACCTACGTTAAGGCCACACCACCTACCAGCTGGACGACCAATTAAATTTCCGGGAATGACTTTCGCATTTTACGTACTGGTGGATGCAAATGCTGAGGCCTGCATGGACAATAAAATTTGGTGAATTACGTCGTCTTGTAGTTTAGCGACGGCGCAAACATGTTATACATATGCAAGCCAGTGTAACGTAGTTGCGTAGATAGGGGACATATAGAGAAGGTGACGTAGTCCGATTAGTAGGAAAGTGGCTAGCAGTTTTAATAATAAGGTAATAGAGTAGGGGGGGGGGGCATGCCAGCGAAAATGAGCAAAATGATCAAAACATGAACAAGAAAACTGAACAAAGGTGAACAAAAAACTAAACAAAAATGAACAAACGAAATGAGCAGAACAAAACAGGCAGAGCTCTAATTTACATCTGTACAAAATAATATATGGGCAATAGGCGTAATAAACAGCAGTTTATACATATATATATAAACATATATATACTTTGTCTCATTAACTCCTGATATATATGAAGACCATATGAAAATGCGACGGAAGAACATGTGACATTATTGAGATTGAAGGGAGAACGTGGTCAAGAAGCATTTCATGAACATGATCCAGCTGTTTATAATAATGCTTGTAAATAACTTACTTTCCTCGGTAATGATGCAGCATTTGTTGTAATTATGTATAGTGGTAAAATATTGTTTTGCACTCACTTCTAAATTTTGTTTTTTATTTTACATTTTGTCATTGTCTTGGGTATGTTTGCCTGAAGGGAGGGAGGTAAACTGGGAGATAGTTTAGTATAATGATAAATTGTAGTATTATCGACATAAATACCAAATTTCTATATATATAGTTATAACACAATTTACACGTTGTTTGCTTTTCGTAAGGAGCGATACCCATGTCAATACCTTATAATATTAATAACAAGGTCAAATTAATAATAATGATTAATAACCACCACACATGGTCGGTCACTCAAACACAAAAATGCCACAATTATTTAACACTGGTAAATAAAGACTACACACAAGGCAGTATTTACAGATCTAACAACAAATCACAGATAGCAGCTCATGAAAGTGGGAACCAGAAATCTGTAATTCACACATGAACTCTTGTGAAATCCTTTGCAGTGAACGTTGCTTCACATCTATCACAGACTTTTGCGACGTGCTTATCCTTCAGTAGACACGAGCGGCAGAAACTGTGTCCGCACGGAGGTCTGTAGAACACGCCGCTCTGCTGTCGACACCTACTACACATTGTTACGTCGTCTTCTTCGCTCGTTTTCGTTCTCAGACGAAAAGACGGTAGAGAATTGAGCGTTGCGCTCAAAACGGAATCTAGACTGGGACGGTCGTCGTCTCGCACCGTATTTTCCTTGGAAACACAGCTGTCGTGACTATCACCCTGTTGAGGCGTCAGTCTATGGCCGGAGCCCGCTCTCGCTTCACTAGTCACAGGTGACGATTCGCTTTGCAGCAATCGTGCTGATGTGCTGCGACGTAGCACGGTCGGCGATGCATTGTATACGAACATCCCCGCGGAATCGTCCGTGCTCTGTCTCTTCCGACCCGCGCGTCTCTCTTCCGGGATTCCGACCCCGACCGCGGAGGTAGGCGGAGCGTCCGGGCGACAATCGGCGAACGCTGCTCCGTGATGCGTCGCCCGGCCGCTTGTGCGTCCGACGCGCCGGCCCACATCCGGACGTCGCAGCAGGAACGCGTCGATCCTCGCCTTTAGCGGTGTGTTGGGCAGCGACGCGGCAGCGCGGGAGAAACGCACGCCCGTGAACGGGTCACTTGGCGGACGCCCCCACCGCTCCTCCTCCGCGGCGTGCCGCTCCAGCGTGCGTCTGTCCACAGTGTGACCCGACGGGAGGAGCACCGGAAGGGACATCACCTACCGGAACGATGACGAGAGAGATTCAGGGGTAGAAATCAGGAGAAAAAAAGTGATGGTCCACAGGACCATCTAGTTTGAAATTTAGATGGTCCTCCTAAATTTCAAATTGTTCTCTAAAGGTAATGCGGCGTGCAAGAAATTTACCGTAAAATGGGACCAAAATGTTCAATCGTCCGTCGGACCATTGACTTTGAAAATCTTATGGTCCTCCTGATTATTTGACGGCCCCGGACCATCGCTTATTTCGACCCAAGATTCGTCGCAGTTTACCGTGTTACGTGAAAACGCGTTCGCACGTCCATTGCAAATTCAAAAAAAATTTGAACAACTAAAAATTCACATGAAACTAGAATTACATATTCATATTAATTTAACAAATTAATAACTTTTGTACAACATGCAAAAACAGTGTGAAACTGAACCAATAACTTCGCAGCAATGGATAAAATGCATCTCAAATGAATACTAGGATACTTTTATCACCACGTGTTACAACAGCTCGCACTTCTGTCAAATGCTTACAAGTTTGCACGGACTATTCACATCACCTCAAAGGTAATCGCATCCAGAAAATCCGGCGGTATTGCATCACAGTCCGGTTCGGGGCCACCCGCGACGTCACGCGGTGGGCAGGCGATTTCGGCGAGGGTGTTAGCGCCACCTGGTGAGCATGTGGTGGCAACGTGGCGCAATGTCAGGCTGCGGTGGAGGGTAGTGAGTTCGCGCACCAGTTGCATGGCCGTGCCCGCCGCCGGCTGGCCCCAGATCTCAACGCTGCCGAGTGCTGGCACGCACGCCGCTGCCGTCGACGTGATGCGCACCGCCACATGGCGCGCCCTGGCGAGCACGACCGGGTCGCGGTGCCGCATCGGCCGCGCGGTCCCGCCCACCGGCAGCGCCCGCCCGAACGCTCCCGCCGACCTCGTCTCGCGGAAGCGAGCATTTACGAAAACGTACGACGACGGCGGCGGGGACTCTGCGACACGCGACGACGCGCGCGCGACGACGGCGAACGTCACTTGCCGCCAATCCGGCATCTCGCCGCCGTCGAGGCACGCCTCGAGGTCAGCGGGCGACCCCGGCGCGCCATGCGCCGCGAGGATCTCAAGTCCCGTCGTCGTCTGCGCGCCAACGGTCGTCGTGACGACGACGTGGCTGACGTCAACGTTGAGTGGGAGCGTGACCGTGATCGTGACAGGCGGCCTCACGAAGCGTTCGGCGAGAAATCCTCGCGAGGGACGCCGCAGCAAGTTGTCCGGCTCGTAGCCGTCGCAGCTGACGGCAGCGCAGTGGATGCGCGCGCCAAGCACTGACGCGCAGAAGTTGATGCTCATCGCAACTCACCGGTTACAGATGCTGCCTGCGACGCACCGGCTTCAACACCTACTTTACAAGCCTAAGATTTGAATTATGTACCGAGGATTAGGATATGATTATGAAGGCGCAAACCTATGGCTATATTTTAGGTCACACGCTGACGCATATTGACATATAACATCCTGTGTCATACGCAAGGCATAATCATTTACGGCTAACAGTTGAATGAGATATCAACTCCCCAACAGTACTGCTAAGTCACAGTAAGTGCTAGTAAGCGGGTGGCATCAGCTTAGGAGCGTGGCTGGCGTCCCTAATAATAATAATAGAGGAGTATGACTCGCTCGAAACGCAAGAAATTCAACATTTCCATGCCGGCCTAGTTTACCTATGATCTATTACATGATACTGAATAAAAATAACATCAGAAGTAGCGTTGTACATCCCACTTGCCCTCATACTTTACCTTGTATCGATATCTCTTCTCATTATATAGTTATGCTGAGAGGGTCTATGTCTCCCTGGGTACTGCCGGAACGTACCCTGGTAACTATCTAATATGCCGAGTATAAGTATAATATAATATCTAATGAGTCTAGGGAGTCGCCTACGCCTACGCCTACTCCCTAACCTTAACCATATCAGATAGTTACCAGGGTACGTTCCGGCAGTACCCAGGGAGACATAGACCTTATCTGCTGTACTTATAGCTTTGCACGTCAGACATGGTTTTAGTCATTCTCCAAGTCAAAGTCGCAGGCATTCCTGACCGATGCAAGTAAACAATAATGACAGCTTGCGGCGCTGTTGACGGCGTGAGACAGGGAATTATTTTATATAGCTGAATGTCACATGGTTAGGGAATCCCCTCCAATAGTGTAGAAAGCACTGATGCGCTAATAATTAATGTGACTAGTGCCATGAATATTAAAATCAAACTGGAAGACAACACAACTCTAGAACCCCGCCATCAGGCATCAATCATTGCAAAATTCACAACTCGAAACTTGAGAGACAAAATATATGAACATAGAAAACTTGCACCGACACTCGATAAAATTGGCTTCACCTCCACAGACAAAATATTTATCAATGAGAGCCTAACAGAAACCAGAAGACGACTGTTCTCAAAGTGCCTGTCACTAAAAAAAGAACAAGTGCCGCAGGGCGACAGGGCTCATCTGGTGTCTGGTGTTCTGCTGATAAATTCATTTGTGCATAGCAAGACGTCTTATACATAAGTCTTCTTTATTCTTGTTTGACTTTCGTAGCCAATTCGAACAAATATATCAGCTACACTTTTGCACCCACCTAATCTCTATATGCATTGCAGACACATGTGCATTGTAGGTTGGCAGGCAACAATTATGATTAGAAGCGTGCCAGCCATGGGCTGCCCCGTGTTTTTGCCTACCCATACGAGCATTCACTGATTCAGCCTTCAAGGTGCTATAGACAGACTGCTTTAGAAAATAATATGATTTAAGGAGCATAAACCTTGTTCAACAAACATTTGCCCTTGCAATTAAACTGTGCAACTGTAGCCTCACATTTACACAGGTATGGGCTCTAATAATAGCAAAAGCAGTTCAGTCCTTTGTTAACAGTCAACAAATCAATGTTTAACCCTCCTCTTGAGGGTCCAAAGGTTATACGACACTTACTCTTCGCATGTCAGCGAAAGTAACTTCATGGTCCTTTCAATAAAGCATAAAAATGCTAGGTCACCGCTGAAACAAAAAATTTTTCAATCGCTCTGTCAGACCATGTCCTCAGAAAATGTCTAAAATCTGCAGCCTGTGCCCATTGACCTTTGACCTCCACATTTTCGGCACGTGATGGTTTTTCCTACCATGATGCTATACAATCCGACTATCAGCGAGCCTAGGTGCGAGCCATTTAGATTTGTGCTGCAATTCTGCATTACCTCCTATACCTTAAGTTAAGGAGGCAATGTTCTTCCTTCTTTACACCTCTTGACCTTGCTGTCTTTGACCCCAGCTCAACATCCAAACTCGTTTCGATTACCCCCGCCCCCACGCCCGCGAATATCGTGACGTACGTCGAGACCGTTTAGATTTGTGCCCAACTGTTGACGACGCCACGACGCTCATGCGATTCTACAAGCTGCATCTGACTTAGACCGAATAATTCTGTCCCATATAACCTTTTTTATATTTTGGTGATGGTTATTGGAACCAAATATAACCCCAATATAACCCTCACCAAAATATAAAAAGGTTATATGGGACAGAATTATTCGGTCTACATCCGACTATGTCAGATGAGCTAAAAAGGCTACAGGTTCCTCTGGACAAGGCCCTTGGAGGCTCAAGTTTCAAGTTTCAAGAAGAGTAAAAGAGCGAAGCGGACCAGAAATGGCCAGATCCTGACCAGAAAAACTGAAGCATCTGAAATAATTCAAATTAATAACGATCAAGACCTTACAAAAATGCTATAGGATAGCCCCGCCAAAACGGCTCGGCATCTGAAGGTAAGTCTCTAAGATAACACTTACGACTAATGTTAATGTTATGAGAGGAGCGTTGACAGAAACACATCGCAGCTATTAGAAAACTCACGATAACAGGAACTTCATAATTTGATGCCACAAGGCTGCTGATTGGATGAGAATCGATCACAAAATTCAAATTCATACACATTTATTGTACATGATAGTAATTTATGCATCTTGATATTATGATGGCTAACCACATATAAATAATATTTGATGAAAAATGACACGGTCTTGAATTTATTCTGCACAACAAGACAAATTCTCTTACTGTAACACGAGACGCGAGAGTCGTGGTCAGTGCAGAGTATTTAAAACAAGTGGAAAAATATCAAACGCCATTTGTAAATGTTTTGTTTTGTTTTACGAACGGTAGATAATTAATGTTTGTGACGTGTTTTTCAAGAAAAACACACATTACTCATTAATATACAATCTAATATCACAATAATTGTAATTATTAATCTAAATGTGTTATTTTCATCTTAACATTAAAGTTACGAGAGGGTCTGGGCTCTCGTAATGTTACTGTTAGGAGGAAATTTCCGAGGATTTTTCGTTCTCGTAACATCAAGATGTTTCTGTCAACGGTTTACGAGTGGAAGTTAATATTAAGACTAATGTTAAGACTAATTTTGTTTCTGACAACGGCCCCCGATATTTATCTTGATTATGATTAATTATCCATGTGCACACTGTAACAATCCATGTAAAACTAACCAACAAGCCATCTTTTGCGACATCTGCTGTAAATGGTGTCACCTTAAATGCATATCTCTTAATCAGAAAGACCTCGAGACACTAGCATCATCTAGGGAGAGATGCACTGTAGCTGAGCAGTGAGGACGTGAAATTGTCTTTCTCGGCCAATTCTACAATTTTTGACTAAATTCTCTACAACTCTTCACTTGAAGCCTGAATATACTACAGATGAACACACCAGGGATCTGCTGATCAACAAATACTGATAAATCTATGAACTTATATGCTGTTATCCTACAATTGAATTGAACTTCCTGCCAACAAGTTCCAAAACGTCAGCCATTTTGGAAAGTCTACTTCCAGCCGCCATCTTAGTTGTTTACATCTGAAAATGTTGAACATCAGATCAGTTTTGATGTTTTTAGCTTTGGGGAGGCTCAAACCCCCAACTATTGATGATACACTAACATTCAGTCAGGACTCTTCTCACTCTACATTGCCAGCAGCGTATCAGGGCTTGAACTTTCTGGCTGTAACTTTGCGTGTGACTCAGTTTAAGCCGGGTTTATTATTGTTTATTCTTCAAAAACGATCAAGTACGTCAAAGCATGTGGCCCTAGCTACATTGCTGTTGCTGCTGCTTCTCGCGGGCGATATCGCTGAAAACCCCGGACCACCTAAGCTTGCATCATGTTACCCATGTGGCTACTGCGAACGGAATGCATCCTGGTCCCATCGTGCCATATGCTGCGATAATTGTGATATATGGTATCACAACTCATGTCTTGAATACTGCTCATCCCGTTTAAGCGAATTGGAAAAGTCCGACATGTCCTGGATATGCTCGAAGTGTGATATGCCAAACGTGGCATCATTCACATTTCACAGCTTCATGCTTTCCTCTGAGAATCGTTTCTCGGTGTTAGACCAGGACACCTCCATAGCATCAATGGACTTCGCTTTTCACCCACAGTTTGTTAGTTCACCCTTTGATCTAAAGTCGGCTTCGAGGAGATTTTCATCTACCGCACCCAGTAACCATGAACCTACGAGCGAGAATGGACATCAACGCAACGCCACGTCAACACTCTGCTACCAATTGCGAACCTGATCCTCAATTGTGAGGGGATCAAATGAGCAAAACGGCAAATTTTGTTGCTGCGGTGGACGTATGTTCAACCTAAGCGTGATTTTGGGCTGCGAGTGAAACTCGATAGCGTCGATTCAATCTGCAGAAAATTCCCTACAGGATATACGGTCTCCGCAAGACGCACCTCCATGGTGGAGGTGTGTTTATTGGCAATTACAAGCTTGCTACGCTGACATTGTGCGAAGGCTGAAGGATAGGCTCGATAGGACCGATGCCGGAAATCATACTGGTAAAGAGTTACCATGCAGAAGCAAAATCCCTGGTATGGTAGTTTTACGACCGACTGATGAAAGGACGCTGAGAAGCTAAAACAGCTGCGATCTTATCCTCCAAAACTTCTGCCTTGTTTGGCCCCGACAAACCATCCACCTGGGTGGCGATTTCACGTGCAGAGGCGCTCGAACTGG